ACGGGGGGGGGGGAGGCCTTTAACATCTGCCCCTTTTCTCTTCCGATCGCTCTCCTTTTCTATTTTTCCTGAGAGAACGAAATAAGCCAAGATCTACATCCCTTTGAGAACTGGCCCTCCCCCTCTGAAGGCTAGAAGTTGGGTCCCTAAAAAGCTGTCCGTCTGGGCTTTCATCTCTTTCACAAACCTTGCCCAGGTTCCCTCTCTTTCTGGGTGCCTTCTTCTGTCCTCCGCCCGTTTCTTCGTGCTCTGTTCCAGAGGCGCCTCTTTGCACGGCTTGGGCACACGCTTGCCCACAGCGCCTATTTCCGGCCGTTCCCGTTCTAAAAATATAGGCACGTGTGTTATTTTCTTCCCACGAACCCGACGAGTGTGCCAGATCCAGAGGGACAGGGCGCCTTATCTCACCCTGGGTGTTGTTATGATTTTGTGGAGAATCTTCAAGGCACAGAAATTCCTTTTCATCCCTGATGGAAACAGGGGGAGATGCAGAAAAACCTGCAGAGCCTTTTTGTGCCTCTGAGAGGGCCCACGAGCAACAGGGGGGTGGGGTGGGGAAAAAGGCCTTTAATGTCTACCCCTTTCTCTCTCTCTCTCTCTCTCTCTCTCCTTTTCTTTTCCTCTCCTTTCCTTTCCTGTTCTCGTTCTTTTCCTTTCCCTCCCTTTCCTGTCCAGGACGACTGCTTTTGGATTCCTTAATGCCTTGTGCAAGCTGGCAGCTGTTCTGGGGATCAGCATCTTCACCTCCTTTGTGGGCATCACCAAAGCTGTGCCCATCCTCCTGGCGTCGGCAGCCCTGGCGGTGGGCAGCTCGCTGGCCCTCAAACTGCCGGAGACGCGGGGCCAGGTCCTGCAGTGAGTGCACGAGAGAGAGACACAGAGAGAGATTTGCACTCGGGCCCTCTTTCCACCCCCTGCCCCATCCTACGTGGGGAAGATTTAGCGTTGTAGGCACTGTGACCGTCTTGTTGTATCATTTCAACAGGGGGAGAAAAAATCTGTCTTGGGTTTTGTTTTCCCCCCACAAACCCACTCCCTCCTCAGATCCCCTACCTCTCCTCCTCCCACCACCCCCCAGCTCCCTCCCATGGTGTTGGTGTGTTTGTGAATCCACTCCCACGAGGAGAGGCAGGGGAAACTGAGGAAGAGCAAGGAGGCGGCTTTCTCTCTCTGCTCACATAAATGCAGGGGCCAGAAGGCCAGTTGTCCATGTGGGGGGGGGGAGGGAGAGAGGTTTAGAGACCCTCCTCCCAAACCATGGCATTTCAGGGTGTGACCCCCTAATTGGCCGAACCAAGCTGGGGGTCCAAATAGCTGGTAGAGGGAGTCTTCTAAATGTATTACACCAACGTGTAAGCTCGTAAAACATCTCACAGTTCTTGGGTGTGTAAAATATTCCAAACGACCCCGTATCCCCTCTTCTTGTTTTTTGTGAGATTCGCAAGAGGCACACTCTATCTCTACGTGTGTGCGCATGTGTGTATGTGTACAGATCAATGCAAAACCACTGCTGGTTGTCAATCCCACTCTCTGTGTACAGGGAAGAAGAAACAATAAGAAAACCACCAGGTCCCAACCTTAGCATCTGTTCTTGGGTGTTAAAAACATAACCCAAACCAACCCTAGTGTCCGTTCAGGTGTAAACATTGTCGTTTTAGCGTGACGCTTCCGGATTTCAGGTGGGATTTCTCGCTGCACTGTTGGGAACGGGTTGGGCTGCTGGCCGAGGGCGAAGCAGAACTTGGGATTTCTGGGGTGACGTAAGCCGGCTCTCTGTGCGTTCCTTCCTTCATTACGCTTGGGGTCTGTCCATCACCTCTACCTGACATTCGTGGCCTTTGTCTGTGGAAACTCCCCAGGCTGGATTTGTTTGTTTGTTTTTTGGCAAAAATACGATGTTGCATTTTCCTGTGGGCAGTCCAACTTCCTGATTCAATACCTCAGCGCCGAAATAAGTGTGCAAGTGCACACGCACACACAGAGAGGCATCTGCCCCCTTACTTAGTCAGGCTTGGAGCTTATTTCCAGAGCAGCTCACTGATTCCAGTGGGGTTCTGGCCTTTCTGTGCAGGAAATACATGTGGGTTTTTGAAAATCCCATTAACAAAATGGATTTCTTTCCTCGTAGGAAGGGTAGGCAATGTACAACCCTCCAGATTACAGCTCCCATCACTCCTCACCACTGTTTGCGCTGACTGTAGAACCGACCTAAAGTGCGCCCATTTTCTGTTTATTAAGGATCCTGCTTCAAACCCTGGCCAGCCAGGTTTCTGTCAGTTGGAAAAATGTATTTCCATGTGAAATTGTCTCCAGCTGCTTAGCAGGGGAATCCCTAAACCTTCACATTCTTTTCCTTTCCAATTTAATGAATTAAGCACCATCCAGAGAGAGGGTCAGCCAAACCCCACTTCTTTGTGTTCGTAAAAATTAAGAGCAGGGTGCACCTTCCTTCAAACCCTCAAGGCCCGCCATTGGGAACGAGGGCCTCTTTAACGGGCCATCTCCTCGGAAAGAAACAGATCCCGTGTCTGGTGGAACTTGGCAAGAGTCCGAAAGGATCAAACAAAGCACAACACCGCGAAAGCCCAGCTTTTGATTCCTTGTTCCTTCCTTCCTGAATTCATGTCCCTCTGTCCATCCTTAACAGTGTAGCTGGTATTTTAAAACAAACAAACAAAAAACCAACCACATACAAACCATACATAGTTCTGTCTGTATGCAAAACTAAACAAAAAAAAACTTGTGCTGTGGTGTAGTTCTTAGATGTTTGTAAAGACAACAATTGAGAAAAACAAATTATCAGGACAAAAAAAGTCATAACTTCAGCTGTGGTCTCTGGTTTGTTCCATTTTGTATGAAAAACAGAAGACAAGAAGGGTTAGATGTGACACTTATTTTAAATGTCATGTTGCGAAAAGGGGTGGGGGGGAGACAGACTCTGAAAAGGTGCTGTGAATAACACTAGTAACGATCGTGCTAATTTAATACATTTTGGGAAAGGTTGCTATGTGTTTTTTAGCTCAGCAGGAAAAGGCAGTACACACACATTCTGTCCCCCTCCCTCCCAGCGTTATGAACTCATAGTCAATAAAAATCAATGTAAAAATGGGAAAAATAATAAACATTGGAAAATAATAATAACCGTCACAGCTTTAACTGCAGATTTTTAAACATTTTTTCCCCCTGTGGTAAAGAAGAATGTTGCAAACAGTAAATTTCAGTGACCGGAAAGTTGTGCGTCCTTCATAAAGAACCACTTTTTCCTTCTGTGAATCTGTGCAATTTACTGAACTCTGCAAAAGTAAAGAAAAGCTCTGGGTGAAGCAGGGGTCGGGAAGGACTGGCCCTTCGCATGTTTGCGATCTCAACGCTGAGAAGCCCCCCTCGTCTGCGTGGCCCACGGATCGCCAGGAGAGCGGGGCTGTTGTCCTGGGACATCGGCTTTCCTCACTTGCCGGGCAGGTGGAAATCTGAAATAAACTGATCGCGCGTTCCAAAATGTGCAGGTTTGCAGGGGATGGAGAGATGCCCCTCTTTATTTTAAGGACAGGAAGCATGGCAGCAAGAACCCCGTCCTTGGAAGGATCCCTGCTCTGGGGCTTGGTCGCCCACAATCCCCAAATTCAGGAGGCAGCGAGCGAGCGCACTCTCCCCCCCCTTTCAAGCAGAAGGGGGGACCCCCACCAGCGACTGCCCTCTCTGGACCTCGCCCTCCATTCAGACTCGGTAATTCACTGATTCAAAGACTGGTGTTTGAAGTGGGAACAACCCCACCGCCATCGCCATCCAACGTGAACGGGATGAGCAGAGCGCAGAGGTCTTGGAACCGCGAGGCCAGCCAGAAACCGCTGCCCTGCAAAAAAACCACACTGGCGACTGCCATGAACCAGGAAAGAAGTTTGGGGAGTTTATTCCGCTTACATGACAGTAAAAGAGACGAACCGTTTAAGGAACGAACCCCACCATCCACCTCCCGCTCGGGCTGCGGAAAGAAAGAAACAGCAGAAAACGTCAGCGCAGCACACCTGCTGGCGCACGGCCGTGCCCACGCATGCACGCAAGGAAAGAGCCAGCGGGAGCCTGAGGGCCGGGCGAGGGGAGCCAGGTGCCCGAGGGGGTCAGTCCGAGCAAGGCCTTTCCCCCTCCCCGCTTCTGAAGCGAAGCCCCCCCCCCTCCGGCCCCGGTTCCTGCCACAAGGCTCACGCCAACCCGGTCTTCTCCGCTGGTCCCCCCGCCTGGGGGTCGTGCTTGGATCCCCCGAGGCAGGCCGGGGGCTGGATGACCTTCGGGTTCTTCTCCCACTGCTGCGGGGTCTTGGCCTGGATGGAGAGGGCGTGGACGGGGCCGGCCAGCTCCTCCTGCAGGATGTCGTTGACCAGCCGGTGGCGGTGGATCAGGGAGAGGCCCTCGAACCGGCGGCTGGCCACCACCACCCGGAAGTGGGTCTCGGAGCCCCGGGGCACGGCGTGCATGTGGCTGTCGTCGATGACCTCCAGGTGGACGGGCGCCAGGGCGGCCTGCAGCTTGGCCCGGATGCTGGCCTTCACCGGCTTCTCCATGGAGGAGCCCTGGCCCAGGACCCCGTAGGCGGCCACCGAGGAGGGCCGTCCGAGGGCACGGCGGAGTGCCAGCAGGCCGGCGGCCGGCAGCATCGGGGAGCGAGGGAGGACGGCAGCGGCTGCAAGGCAGAAGGGCGACGGTCGGTCCGGCCACGCTTTGCCCAACGTGGGTCAGGGGCCGACCTCCTCTTTGGGCCAGCTCCAGGGGCATCCCTTGCCCACCCCCCGGACCCAGGAAGGGGACTGGCCTGTTCGGGGCTGGGGAGGACCAGGAGCTCTCATGGCCGAACCAATACACTCTTTGGGGGGGTGGGGGGCATGCTCAGGCACAGCCTAGCTGTCAGTTGCCTCCCAACCCTGCTCTCCTCCAGGGGGCGCCAGGCGGGGCCTGTGGCTTTTTTCCCGTCCCCTGCGACCACCCTGCCAGGCTGGCCAGAAGGGGGGGGGGTCTGGGCGGGCTCCCTTTTCCAAGCCCGGAAGGGATCCCCACGCCGAGGAGGGCCACCCCCTCCGCCCAAGCCCCTGTCAGGACCGGCTGTGAAGCAGGAAAGGGCACCTCCTCGCCCTTCGGTCAGCAACCGGGAGCCCTGACACAGATTCGGCCCCCGGGGGCAGCGGCCGGGCTAGTCGAGGCATGATGGGCTTTGTAATCCCTCCTGCCCAGACCCTGCACGCCTCCTGTAGCAAAGGGGTGAGGAAGAGGGCCCGGGATGCCAGCAGGGACGGGGTCCCTGCATGTCCGGGGACGGGGCTGGAGGGAGGAGGAACAGGGGATGATGGGCTTCCAGATCGACCAGCTGGAGGGTGGGCAACAACTGCAGCCGGGGCGGATCGTGGCTGGGCGCCGCGGAGCCCCTTTAGTGCGTTGCCGGAGCGGTCTTTAAAAAGAAAAAAGCCTGGCTGCCTTAGCTGAGCCCCTCTCTCATCTGAGGCGGTTAAAAAAAAAAAGTAAAGCGTGCTGCTTATACCCCGCCCCGCCGCCCCACCCCCGGGAGGAAAGGGGGGTCTCCCTCCCAGCGCTGCACCCACCTGTCCTAGGCGGAGCCCCCAAACGACGCGGCAGCCTCTCCCTGCGCTGACCTTGCTCTCTCCTCGCACCCCCTCCTTTCCCGGAAAGCCACGCCCCCTCCTTTCTCCGCCTCCTTTCCCGAGGAGAGTTCTGGGCAATGTGGTTGCCCTGCCCAACCGAGGGAGGGAGGGCGAGGCAAGAGGACCACGTTTCCCAGCAGGCTCTGGGGCTGCTCGCTGCGCTCTGAACCCTGGGAATCGTAGTTCATGGGGGGGCCTCTTTGAACAAAAGAAGGGCTTTGTCGCCCTCTGCCGGGGGCAAAACAGGCTGCACCCAATTTCTGGTCTGCAAAGTGATGAAAGCACACGTGGGGGATTCGTTCGTTTTCTTTTTGGACTGCAACTCCCAGAATCCTACGTGGCTGCCTGGGGCATTCCGGGAGTTGTAGTCCGAGTAAAGCATGTGCCCCAGCTGTAAATGATAAGCAAATAAAAACGCCCAGGCCAGCCCTGGCAACGGTCCTCTGCTGGTTTACTTGGGAGCAAACCCCCATATGGGGTCCCACGGGACTTGCTTTGCGAAACTTCCCGAAGCAGCGGAGGAATGGCAGCCGGCTGCCGTGGCACGCGTGTGGACTACAACTCCCATCAACCCCGTCAAAGCTACGGTTTTGTAGTCCGGCGCTATTTGGAGAGCAGACCTGGCAGGACCTGTAAGTGCTTCGAGGGCAGAGACCGGGCCCTCTTCCTCTCTCCTCCCCCGTGGCGCCCCCCCTTTCTCTCTCTGTCTCGGGTCGGGTCGGGGTTTCAGCTGCCACTGGTTGCCCTGCCTTTCCTCTTGCCCAGCAGGCGCCTTGGGCGAAAGGGGCAGGGAGGAGGGAGGTGGCCCCGGGTCGGTCCGCGAGCCAGGGCGAGGGGCTTGGAAGCCGGCAGGGCTTCGTCGCCCCCCCCCCGTGCCCAGGACGCCCCAAGCGGGCTTCCTTCTGATGCCTTTCCTAGCTGGGGCGGCGGGCGGGAATCCGTCCGGTGAAGCGACGCCTCCACCAGTGGCGTTTCTACCTCGTCGTGCCACCCTTCCAAGCCCAGTTGGATCCCCGGCTCTAGAGAGGCGGGATCGTCCGCCTCCGAAAGGCTTCTTTCCTTGGAGTTGTAGAAACGTAGTTGGGGTTGCCTGCGGGCCGCCCGGGTGGGTTAATCCTCCTTCTGGGGCCAGCCCGCACTTCTCCCTTTGTCCACAAGGCGGCGACCGTCTTGCTGGTTTCGCTTCTGTTCGGCCATCCAAGGGGAGGCGCGGCTTTTGATGGGCTCCCTTGCACTCGGCGCGCCGGTCCGACGGGCAACTGGCAGGGCGACTACTAGCCCGGGGCCCGGCCATGCTCTACCTCGCAGGGTGGTGGTGGTGATGGCAAGGGGAGCCCATGTCCTGCGCCGAGGTCAGACGGGAGAGAAAGAGAGAGAGAGCCCGTCACATAGAAACAGACGTCGTTTGGAGTCTCCAAAGCCCGCCCAAGAGTCTTGTGGGATCTGAAAGACACTCCCGTTTTATGAGACTTCCTGTAAACTTTATTGTGGAGCGCGGATGGGTTGACCCTGGGGACTTGTGAGCACTTAAGGTGCCACGACTGCTCAGTATGTATGTATGTATGTATGTATGTATGTATGTATGTTATGTTATGTTATGTTATGTTATTTATATACCTCCCATCTGGCCAGGAGCCACTCTGAACACTTTCCCACAGAATAAAACAATAGCCAGCCCTTATAATAAAATAAGGTTAAACTGTATCAACATAAATTTCAGAATAAGGATCAGAGCTGTACTAAACGCTATAACTTAAAATACAACACAAAAAGACATTTAGTCATGTAACACAGCTGCTCCTTTAGAGACATGGAGCAGAAAAGACTCTTTCCTCCAAAGTCTGTTTTATTGGGGGGGGGTGACAGACTGACCCCCGGCCTGCCCAGCCTGGCCTTCACAGGGATCCCCCCAGTGGCCCCCATAGGTGGGCAAAGGCCCTGCCTCTCGTGGCCACAAATCCTGGCGCAGTGGTTAAACCGCTGTACTGCAGCTACAACTGTGCTCATGACCTGGGGTTCAAATCCCAGGTAGCCGGCTCAAGGTTGACTCAGCCTTCCATCCTTCCAAGGTCGGTAAAATGAGTACCCAGCTTGCTGGGGGGGCAATGTGTAGCCTGTATAATTAAAAAATTGTAAACCGCCCGGAGAGTGCTTGTAGCGCTATGGGGCGGTATATAAGTCCAATAAATAAATAAATAAGTCCCCTGCTTGGTGGGCGATGGGATTTCCTTTCGTCCCTCCTGAGATCTGTGGTCAGGGGCCTGCTCCCCCAACCCCTCCAAATCCCAGCCTTTTTCAGAGTGAGAAGAAGAGGGCAACGTGTGGTTTTGGGGATGATGGAAGAGTCTCCGTGGGGAGGGGAGGCTTTGGGGTTGCCCCTGGGACGCCCAGTGGGACACCTGACTGGGAAAGAGGAGAAGGCAGGGGGAGATGGGGGCAGCCACACCTAGGTGGGGCCTCCCCCTCCCTCCCTGTCACCATCAAAGGAAAGGGGGGTGTCCCCCCCCCACCAACACCTGGAGGATGATGAGTCAAGATGAAGCCACGACTCTCAAGAATGTCCCTCCCTGGTTGCCCCCTCACACACCCCTAAGCTGCTAATCAGCTCTAATTATGCCTTTTGGCTGGGGGGGCTGCCTGCCATGGTCCTGGGGAGGGGGGCCTCCCTATCCTCCAGGTGGGAGGGGCCTCTGCTGTTGTCCAGCCAGCCCTTGTGGGGGGGCGTGGGGTGTGTGTGTGTCTTGTGCGGCGTGACCCTGTCCACACACCTGTCCCGACCCCCCAGCCAGCCATGCTCTTCTGGGTCCTGCCTGGGGTCCCCCCTCCCCATCGCCCCCTCCCTCCCCTACCCTCTGGGCTTGACCCAAGGAAGGGGGTCCACACCTGGAAGAGCCCCTCGGCAAGCAGATGTTCCTCAGGCCCCCCCATTCCCCCACAGTGGCCCTGAGGAGGAAACGTTGCAGGCGGGATTTCTACCTGCCACCAAGCGGGGTTTTTAAAGATTGAGAGAAACTCAGTAAGGTTCTATAAAACACACTCAAATAGCAAAGAAGAGAGACCTCACTCTCTCTTTCTCTCTTTCTCTCTCTCTCTCTCTCTCACACACACACACACACACACACACACACACACACACACACACACACACACACACACGAGACTTAGTCAAGCAGGCAGAAATCCAGCAGGTTTCAGCCCTTCTCTCTCTCTCTTTCTTTGGACGAAGGCCTGGCGTCGGGATCGCTTGACCATTCCCCGACCCCAGCCTCAAAGACTTCCCACCGAAAATCTGGAAGCCGAGGCAGGTCAGGGAGGGTCAGGCTGCTACTAGCAGGGCGTTCTCCGAAATTATAGGGCTGCCAGAATGTATCAAAGTGGCAGGGGAACACCCTTGACCCCGAGAGCCGGAGGGGGTGGGGGTGGCTTTAAAAAAAATAATCCTGTTTTTTTCTTCTTTTTCTTTTGATTCTTCTTTTTTTGAATGGCAGTAGTTGTTTGCTCTGCAATGAGGGGTGAAAACTGAAGGTCACCGGAGGGTTAATATGGTGCGTCCAGGCAAATGTTCATCAAGTAGTTAAACAGCTTTCAGGAGGAGAATTGGGGTCACCCTCTCCCTCCCCCCATATCCTCTTCCCCCAAAGGTTTTTTTTCTTTCTTTCTTTGGTGGGTGGTTGTAGATCAGAGAGGGATCGTTATGATCAGGCAGTTATTGTGGTGACTAGCTCAGATTTATGGTGTGTGATGGCTCAGAGAGATTGGGGGGGGTCCCATGTCTTGCGAATGGCACACAGAGGCCCCCCTCCCTATTATAAAGCACAGAGGGTCGAGGGGGGTGTAAGGGGGCTGCCAGATATCCAGCCCATTATCCTGGTCTTTTCATATTGCCTCTGATGTTCTGCACATGCGAGGTGGTTCATGGGCACACGTAGCATAGAAACCGAGTGGTTTTTTTCAAGGCACGGTTGGAAGGAAGATGGAACTCCCCGCCTCATGATGGACTCACCCTCTAATTCCCACATCCTTTCTCTCTGTACTGGCTGCACAAGCCGGGGAATTCTTAGATTTGCAGTTTAGGGCAAAAAAGAAATTATCTCAAGGTACAGATGTCATTGATTGAAGGCCAAAGAACACAACCGTTTCTGACTTAATGTGGGGCTCTTGCAAATTCCGTGCCTCCCTGTTAAGTTGTGGGCTATGGGTTGCTGCCCAGTTTCCCACTGGTTTCCTGAGTCTCATAGGTCAGAGAAGTTGTTGTTGTTGTTGGACCAAAATGCCCAGAATCCCTCAGCCAGCATCGCACCGGGGAGTTCAAGTCCGAAAAAAGAAAAGGGGGTTCTTAGGGCCACGGCTGGCTCGCCGCGGGGAGCTTTTTCTGATTTTTCCCCCCTTGCGCTCACCTGGCAAAACCATTTGGGCTTGAGGTGAAGTCCAGGAGCTGCCAGGTTTCACCCTGCAGATGGGTTTGGCTTCTCAATGCGCGCGCACGGGATCGCTGCCCACTTCTTCACGCGCTTTTGAAGAAGCAGCAGCAGCTCCAGTCCACAGTGGGAGCTGCTGGCTGGTCAGGGGCCCGAGGGAGGCCTCTCGGAGAGATTCAGGGTGAGGCTTTTGGGGGAGGAAGCGAATCTGACAAACCTCCCCACCCTTCCGGGAGAGTAGAACATGGGCTCTGTAGTCCTTTCCCTTGATTTATAGCCCACTCTTCTCCCCATCAAGGGAGTCAAGGCAGCATACAAAACATTGGGAAGCGGGAGGGAACAGGCTGGATTTTGCCCACGGGGCCAGAGATTCACCCTCTGCCCCGTGCCTGCCTGTTTGTGCATGTGTGCCCACCACCGGCCCCCACCCTTGCTTGTCCGCATGATCCTCGCCTTGCACCCCTCCTCCACCCCCTCGTCCTCTGCAGGACAACTTCTCCCTGTTTGTCGGTTTCAAAACAAGCAGCTCACTAGTCCGGTCTCGCCAGCCTCTGTTCTCCAACAAAGGTCACAGCCTCCTTGCGTCGTCCTCCTCCGCTTGACGCCTTCGGTCATGCCTTCCCTTCTGCATTCCACCCCCCTGGCATGCCGGCTTCCCCAGAGAAAGATCCTCTTTTGAAACGGGGGGCAGTAGGTCTGGCCTCCCCTCTTCCCAACCTAAACCAGGTTGGGAGGTTTTCTGTCTTCTCTTCCCCCCCCCCC